ATAATGTCTGTTCTATTCTGCTGCCCTTCCTATTCCCCCTACTCCTCCCCTCCTCTCCCATCATTTCTCTATCCAATCTAATATGGCACTTTTTTTTCTTTTTCTCATCACAACATCATATATGTATTCTGTATTAACAATGAGGTTTTCTTTCCATCTTCCGTGCAACTCCCCTTCTCCCTCTTTTTCCCTCCCACCTCTCTTCCCTATTTAGTGGTAGTCTTCTCATGCTCTTCTTCCCTATCCTATTTTGAGTCACCCCCCTTATATCAGAGAAGACATTTGTTTTTTAGGGATTGGCTAACTTCACTTAGCATAATCTGCTCCAATACCTTCCATTTGCCTGCAAGTGCCATGATCTTGTTATTTTTTAGTGCTGAGTAATATTCCATTGTGTATAAATGCCACATTTTTTTAATTCATTCATCTATTGAAGGGCATCTAGGTTGGTTCCACATTCTAGCTATTGTGAATTGTGCTGCTATAAACATTGATATGGCTGTGTCCATGTAGCATGTTCTTTTTAGGCCTTTTGGTGTTTTTTTTTTTTAATATTTATTTTTTAGTTTTCGGCGGACTCAACATCTTTGTATGTGGTGCTGAGGGTCGAACCCGGGCTGCACGCATGCCAGGCGAGCGCGCTACCGCTTGAGCCACATCCCCAGCCCTTTTTTAGGTCTTTTGGGTATAGTCCGAGAAGGGGAATAGCTGGGTCAAATGGTGGTTCCATTCCCCGCTTTCCAAGGAATCTCCATACTGCTTTCCAAATTGGCTGCACCAATTGCAGTCCCACCAGCAATGTATGAGTGTACCTTCCCCCCCCCCCCAATCCTTGCCAGCACTTATTGTTGTTTGACTTCATAATGGCTGCCATTCTTATTGGAGTGAGATGGTATCTTAGAGTAGTTTTAATTTGCATTTCTCTGACTGCTAGAGATGGTGAGCATTTTTTCATGTATTTGTTGATTGATTGTATATCCTCTTCTGAGAAGTTTCTGTTCAAGTCCTTGGCCCATTTGTTGATTGGGTTATTTGCTTTTTTGTTTAACTTTTTGAGCTCTTTGTATACTCTAGAGATTAGAGCTCTATCTGATGTTTGAGGGTAAAAATTTGTTCCCAGGTTGTAGGCTCCCTATTCACCTCGCATATTATTTTTTTTGCTGAGAAAAAACTTTTTAGTTTGAATTCGTCCCATTTGTTGATTCTTGGTTTTAAGTCTTGTGCTATAGGTGACTTATTAAGAAATTTGGGGCCAGCACCCACGTGATGAAGATCAGGGCCAACTTTATCTTCTATTAGATACAGAGTCTCTGGTCTGATTCCTAGCTCCTTGATCCATTTTGAGTTGACTTTTGTGCATGGTGAGAGATAGGGATTCAATTTCATTTTGTTGCATATAGATTTCCAGTTCTCCCAGCACCATTTGTTGAAGATGCTTTCCTTTCTCCATTGCATGTTTTTAGCACCTTTGTCTAACATAAGGTAGTTATAATTTTGTGGATTTGTCTCTGTGTCCTCTATTCTGTACCATTGGTCTACCAGCCTGTTTTGGTGCCAGGATCACAAGCTTTTTAAAAGTATTTTATTTAGAAACAGGGTCTTGCTAAGTTGCTGAGGCTGGCTTTGATCCTCTTACCTCAGCCTCCCAAGCCAATGGCGTTCAAAAGCACATCTTTTTGTCAGATTTATCCCTGAATATTCACTCTGCAGCCATACTAGGGATTGAACCTAGGCGCACTCAACTGCTGGGCTACATCCCAGCCCAATGTATCTTCAGACAAGGGCTCCCTAAATTGCCCAGGCTAGTCTCAAATTCCCAATCCTCAGCCTACCAGCTAGTTGGGATTACAGAGGTACACCACACTCCTGGCTTTTGTTTTGTTTCTGCAGTACTGGGGTACTTAGGCAAGTGCTCTACCACTGGCTATATCCCTAACCCAAATTTATTTTGAGAAAGCTAAATTGCCCAGGCTGGCCTCCAATTTGAAATCCTCTGGTCTCAACTTTCTGTGTAGCTTGGATTACAGGCTTGTACCACCATGTCTGGTGTGCACCCATGTAGGGGACTGTGTATGTGTTACTGGGGATGGAACCCAGGGGCACTCTACCCCTGAACTTCATACCTAGTCCTAATTTTGATATCGGATCTCACTAAATTGCCCAGACTGGCCTCAAGCTTTGGATCCTCCTGCTTCAGCCTCCTAAGTCTGGAATTACAGGTGTGCTCCACCAAGAGCTAGATCTGGGGTGTGCTTATAGGCCCAGCTGCTTATGAGGCTGAGGCAGGAGGATCACTTAAGCCCTAGAGTTAGAGGACAGCCTGAGCAATACAATGAGACTATGTCTCAACAAAAAAAGTTTTATTTTTTGTTTTGTTGCAATACTGGGGCAGGGCTGTGTTTTCTCTCCAGAATTTGGAAATTTCCAGAATTCTTTTTGTTACTAATTGCTAATTCCATCCCATTATGATGAAAGATTCTCTCTTAAAATTTGCTAAAGTGGTGGCACATCACTACAACAAGGGAGGCTAGGCAGGAGGATCTCGAGTTCAAGATCAGCCCAGGCAACTTAATGAGACCCTGGTTCAAAAATAGGGGTTGGGAATGTAGCCAGTGGCTCAAACCCGTAGTACCACAAAAAAGAAAAAAAAAATAGGAATATTTGGGCTAAAGTATAGCTTAAGTGACAGAATGTTTACTAGCCTGTGTGAGGCCCTGGTTTTGAGCCCCAGCACTACAAAAAGGAACAAATAGAAATATTTGGGACTGAGGTGTAGCTTGGTGGTAGAGTACCTGCCCAGGAGACCCTAGGTCTGATCCTTTCAGCTCTGAAAGGAAAACACAGTGAAGAAAGGAAAATAATTGCTTGAGTCACCCGTGCCCCAATTCGACAGATTGCAGTGTGCAGAAAGACCCCTTTGACCTGGAGAAGGGAGGGGCAATTAAACACAGGCCGTAGCTGGTAGGCACACACCTATAATCCCAGTGGCTCAGAAAGCAGGCAGGAGGATCATGAGTTCAAAGCTAGCCCCAGCAATTTAGCTATCTGAATAAAATATAAAAAGGACTTTGGATGTGGCTCTCCTGGGTTCAATCCCACTATCCCCTACCTACCCCCCCCCCAAAAAAAAAGAAAAAGAAAACACCACAGGCCTTAGACTTAGAGCTCAGTATCCGGCCCATCATAGTAAAGCCCAGTGATGGGCAGAGTGCCATGGCCCTTGGTCCAGTACCTATAGACAAAGCCTCTAGAGCCTCCCCAGAGCCAGGTAAAAATCTTGATTTCAGGGAGCCAGACTGGTATTTCAGACTGCAGCACTGCTGGCCACGTGATGCACCTGTATTGTGTCCTCAGCATCAGCCTTGGTGATCAAGGAATGGCTTCCAACATCCACATCAGGCATAGCCTGGAGAAAGACTTATCTACTGATAAGACAGATGTGAGTGGAGGACTTTTCCTTGGTACTCAGTGCTGGGCCAGGGAAACCCAACACTGGGCAGAACTCATTGGTCCCTTCCCCAGGCTAGCACACAAACTTGGTCTCTGGATCAAGCGCAACACCTTGCAGAGACTGCAGCCCCAGTAAAATGTACTTATGTTCCAGCCTAACATCACCCCTCCTGGCTGCAGTGGTCTCAGGCCATAGGAGATGACAGTAGCAGGCAGATCATAGCATCATGGGCCTTGGTCGCTGTAGCTTTAGGTTTCCCGGTATGATCTAGCATTGCAGTGGCTGTGGTGGCAAAGGGACTGCCCACCTCCTTTCTCCTCCCTTCTCCCACCCAATCAGCACAACGCAGTGATTGTCCACATAGGGGAAGAACAAGAATGTGGACACACATATGGCTGTGGGTCCCAAACAGTATATGCCATTGAGGCCCAGTGCTGGTCAGAATTCCATAGTACCAGACTGTAGGCCAGTGACTGTAGACAAGGCATCAGGGTCCATCCTGCTCCAGGTGGAGGCACATGGACCCAGTGGAGATGGACTACCCTCTCCAGACACTCCTCAAATGCATCCTGAATAATAACACTGCAGATTCAAGGCGAGTGTGTGTGTGTTGATGGGAATTGAACTCCTATACATGCAAGGCAAGCACTCTATCAACTGAGCTATTTCTCCAGCCCCAAGGTAAATTTTGACTTGGGGCTCCCACTAACACTAAAATGGTTGCAATATACCAACTGTAGTATCATGGCAAATCTGGAAATTCTTTTTATTTTTGGTACTGGGGATTGAACCCAGAGGCACTTTACCACTTAACTATATCCACGGCCCTTTTTAAATTTTTTGTTTTGAGACAAGTTCTCGCTGAACTGCTGAGGCTAGCCTGAAATTTGCAATCCTCCTGCTTCATCCTTTGGAATCCCTGGAATTACAGGCCAGCACCTGTGGGCCCTGCATAAACGTGGATTTAGAGCACCATCTAGTGCTCAATAGTAACAATGATCACGGGCTCAGAGAACATTAAACAGCCGGCTTAGATTTTATGGAAGGACAGTTGAAAGAAAGTCACGCTGAAGATTGGAATAAATACCTGGTTCTTCAAAGCCTGAATAACATTGTGTGCCAATAAGGATCTAGCAATTTCTGTGATATCATGAAAATTTAAGAGAGATCAGTAGAATCGAGGAAAGGAACCAGGGGTAGGGAGGAAGGAAGGGAAAGCGGAAATACTGGGGAATGATATTGGCCAAATTATATTGTTATATTGTGTGCATGTACAAATATGAAACAATAAATCCCACAATTACATGCAACTATAATACACCAATAAAACATGTGGAAAAAAGTTTTTGTTTTTTTTTTTTTTTTTTAAATTCAATTCTGAGGGAAAAAAAAAAAAGTTTCTGGGAACTATTACCTCACTGAAGGGACAAAACACCAGAAAATGATGGTGATAGCTATGTGTGATCTCTTTCACAGAAAATTCAGAATAGTCATTTTAAGGGGAAAAGCAGATTTCCTGAAATCAGTTTAATTAAGGTTTATACATTACCTTAATGACGCTTCACTCAAGATGTGGTGACACACACCTGTAGTCCCAGTACTCAGGAGGCTGAGGCAGAAAGATTACTTGAGCTCAGAAGTCTGAGGCTAACCTGAGCAACATAGCAAGATCTGACCTTAAAGAAAGAAAAAAGATGGGGCTGGGGATGTGGCTCAAGCAGTAAAGCGCTCGCCTGGAATGTGTGCGGCACTGGGTTCGATCCTCAGCACCACATAAAAATAAAATAAAGATGTTGTGTCCACTGAAAACTGAAAAATAAATATTAAAAAACTCTCTTAAAAAAAAAAAAGACAGTATATATTCCTGGTTCATAGTTCAAACCCTGCTAGCTCTTTGAACATGGCGTTGGCACACAGGTGGTAACCACTTTTCTTGTCACGCCTTTCTCCAATGTCCTCATAACCCTTCACATTCAGTCTCCCAGAGTCCTAAAGCAAGCTGTGTGTCCTTGATATGGCCATAAATCTACCCCCTCAGTGTTGAGATCTGTTTTTAAGTAGGGAATATTCCTTTTCATAGTGAGAATAAAGCAAATAAATGTCAAAATGTTTGAAAAAGTTTCAATCATGGTGTGTTAGCTTTTCATTGCTGTGACCAAAATGCTCCACAAGAACAATTAAGAGGAAGGAAAGTTCCTTTTGTCTCACTTTCAGAAGTTTAGTCCTTGGTGGGTTGACCCCATTGCTCTGGGCTCAAGGTGAGGCAGAATATTATGGCAAAAGGGTGTGGTCGAGGAGCACTGGATGCAGAGAGGGAAAGGGACTGCAAGAAGGCACCCTTCCAGGGCACACCCCCCAGTGACCCACCTTCTCCAGCCATGTCCTGCCTGCCTAGTTACCACCCTGATAGTCCACTCAAACTATCAGGGTGGACTGGTTAGGTCCAGCTGTCACAATCCAATAAATTCACCTCCCAACATTCCTGAATTAACACTGGAGATTTTGAGGAACGGCTCATAACCAAACTATAAGACACAGGTAGAATCTTCTACCATTCCCCTGTGTTATTTTGGAGAGCGATCAAATTACCTAGACACTCAGAAAATGAGCATAACCTTAGGGCAAGGAAGAATTCTGTGAAAGTTGTTTAGTGATTGAGTTCTCTGGATCCTAGTCTGAAGAAACTAAAAATGGGAAAATAAGAAAAATATTAATTTGGTTTGCATGAGTGTCCCCCAAGGATTCTATGAATATTTACGAACATTTAAGCCCTACTGGAAGGTCCTTAGGTTGCAGGAGGGGACATGCCCTTGGAAGGGAAAATGGAACCCCAGGCTCTTCCTCTGAGTGTTTTTTTTTTTTTTAAGAGAATTTTTTAATATTTATTTTTTAGTTTTCGGCAGACACAACATCTTTGTTTGTATGTGATGCTGAGGATTGAACCCGGGCATCAAGCATGCCAGGCGAGCGTGCTACCGCTTGAGCCACATCCCCAGCCCCCCTCTGAGTAGTTTCTGCTTCCTAGCTCATCCTATGAGAAGTTTTCTCCAACACATGCTCCCCACCATTGTTATCTAGCACCTCTTCTGAGGCCCAAAATAAGATGCTACTCAATCTTGGAGTGGAACTTGAAGAACCATATGCTACATATGCTTACATTAATTGCCTCAGGTATTTTGTTATAATCATATGAAGCTGGTTAATACAATTAACCACCAAAGATCCCAAATGAAACAGCCCAAAGCCATGTGTATGTCTCCATTGAAGAATATAGAGTATTACAGAAGGTGCTTGTGTGTGGTGGGGGATGCAGGGCAGAAAAGGACTCAACCAAAGACCACAGGGTTTTCTTCACAAACCTAGAAGGTGTCTTCTCTTGAGGCTTTCTTTGACATTTATCCTAAGAGTGAGTTGGAGAAGGATGTTGGGAGGCCAGATGGGAGGCTGCTGCAGTAGTGCAGATGAGAAATTACGTGTACCTGATCTAAAATGATGCAAATGAAAAATAAAATACCTCTCCTGAGGTAGGAAACACTATAAAAGAGTAGATGTGGGGAGAAAGCAAAGTCAAATATAGGCCATATTGGGATATTGGAGCCACTGCAGGGAAATCCCAGCAGAAAAATTCAGCATAAAGTTGGAAATTCTGACACTCAGGGGAGAGGATTCCTATAGAGGCAAAGAATAGGAATCTTTCACCAGGTGTAGTGGTGCACACAGGTAATTCCAGCAACTCAGGAGGCTGAGCAGAAGGATTGTGTATATTCAGTGCCAAACGAGGTAGCTTAGTAAAGACCCTGTCACAAAATAAAAATAATTAAAAAAAAAAAAAAAGACTGGAGATATAGCTCAGTGGTAAAGTGCCCTTGGATTCAATCCCCAATACTGCCACCAACAACAAAAATAGTAATTGAAGCTGAGCATGGTGACACATGCCTGTAATCTCAGTGGCTCAGGAGGCTGGAGACAGGAGTTTGCGAGTTCAAAGCCAACCTCAACAAAAGTGAAGCGCTAAGCAACTCAGTGAGACCCTGTCTCTAAATAAAATACAAAACAGGGCTGGGATATGGTTCAGTGGTCGAGTGCCCCTGAGTTCAATCTCTGGTACCCAAAAATAATAATAATAATTTAAGATCTTTAACTAGATCAACTGGTATAAATACTTAGAAGCAGATTGAGTTCAGGCCTGGCTATAAGATAGTTAAAGTACTGGCCTGGGGTATTATGGGGAGCCAGTCCAGAAAGCACTTTAAATTCAAATTTTATTTTTTATTTTTTTAAAGAGAGAGGATTTTAATATTTATTTTTTAGCTTTCGGCGGACACAACATCTTTGTTTGTATGTGGTGCTGAGGATCGAACCCGGGCCGCATGCATGCCAGGCAAGCGCGCTACTGCTTGAGCCACATCCCCAGCCCTAAATTCAAATTTTAAATCAAAAGCAAGCTTTATTTACCTGGCCAGAGACTGTCACCCACCTGTAGAGATTCAAGCTCTGAGAGAGGACTGCAGCTTCCTGGTACATCCAATGAGAATATAAACACAAAACCCACAACTCAGTGACTTGCTTATTGGCATGTAAACTAGCCAATCACAGAAATTAAAATATTAATAAGTGGGACCTGTGGGCTCTAGGCAGGACTGGAATTTTCCAGTCAGCAAGCAAGTGATAAACAGAAGCTAAAAAAGCATTAGCTTTACAGTTCAGTTGACCACAATCCCGGGTTCAAGCTGGTGCTAGAAAGTTGTATCCTGAATTTGGGTGGGGCGAGAATCTACTTCAAAGTCAAGTAGACCCACAAGGGCATTCAAACCCAGGATGTAGCTTGCCATGACCTGAGTAGGGTAAAATTTGTGGGGTACAAAGTACAGAAAAACAATTTTTATAAGAAAACAGCTTTCATTTCAGTTTCTCAGAAACAGCTCTTATAACAGTTTTTTATAGAAGGCAGCAAAATGGGTCTTAGGCCTGACTGTTCTTGCTTTATAATTGTCTTATTTCACTTATCAAAATCTTATATCTATAATCTATATTTTTTATTAATCTATACTCTATAACTTACACTCTTATTGATTGAATTTATCAGTTCACACCATAACAGGGGATGTGACTTAGTGGTGAGCACTTGCCTAGCATGTGCAAAATCCTGGGTTTAATCCCTAGCATCACCAAAAAAAAAAAAAAAAAAGTTACAGTACTAATGCTATGAAGATTAGTGAGTTAATAGACACCAATTATTTAAAATAGTGCCAGATAGTACTTCTTGGGGGCTGATCCTTTTCTTGATTTGTGATGTGGTGCAGAAATTATATGTAATATCTCTAAAATGAAATTGAGAGCCACCTTATGTTTCCCATGACCCTGCCTTCAAAACAAACAAATGTTCCATGTTAAATACATCCTGTAGACTAAGAGACTTCAGGAAAGAGTGTCTCTTTCTCTACCTGTAATATGTAGTCTGTCATTTGACTCTACCACGGCTCTGAAACTCTTTTTTAAATCAGTGATCTGGTGTCCAAATACACTAGTATGCATTCTGTCAGAATTTCAGTTTTCTCAGATTTTTCAGGAACTTGCTGACTGGTATCCTACTACATCTTCTCAGCTTAGCAGATTACTTAACTCTCTCAGTATCCTCAGATATGGATGATCCCAGGATTCTTCTCTCTTTTCAGTTGACTTCTGAAATTTTAAATTTATTTTTAATATATTTATTTATTTATTGGTACTAGGAATTTAACTCAAGGGGTTTCTACTACTAGACTACATCCCCAACCCTTTTTGAGACAGGGTCAAGGCTGGCCTTGAATTTGCAATCTTCCTGCTTTAGGCTTCTGAGTTGCTAGAATCCAGATGTGCACCTGACACCAGAGAATTCTTTATTCCAAGTCTCCCAGGCAGAACAGGTTCTGTCAGACAAAATTGCAATCCAGATTCTGGAAGATTCTAGAGCCTTGGGGGGCCGGACATTAAAAGTGGACTGATTTGTAAATAACAGCACAAATGTTCTTAAGCAAAAAAAAAAAAAAAACTTTTGGGGTGTACTCAGGATTGAACCTAAGGCCTCACATGTATTAGCACTTTCCTACTGAGCTATATCAACAGCCCCTTAAACAAATTTTATATTGTCTCCAGAATCCAATAATGTCCAAAAGATGTTAAGCTCATCTTCACATTGGGATGTTGAGTCAAAGGTATTTCTTGACAGTGTCGGGGATAGAGGTGCTTTTAATTTACTAATGTTCAGAAATTTAACCAAATAAGAGAGAAAAAAATTCCCCCTTTGGTACTGGAGATAGAACCCAGGGGTGTTTCAGCCCTTTTTATTTATTTTGAAACAAGATCTCACTAAGTTGCCTAGTCTGGCCTCAAACTTGCAATCCTCTTGCCTAACTTCAAATTGCTTGGATTACAGATGAAAGAATCTTGTACCAAGTGTGAATCAATGACCCTTTGTATAAACTCCTTTATCAGCATACCTGTGTTTTATTTTATTTTATTTTACTTTTGAATTTTTAATATTTATTTTTTTTTAGTTTTGGGCAGAAACAACATCTTTGCTGTATGTGGTGCTGAGGATTGAACCCGGGCCGCACGCATGCCAGGCAAGCGCGCTACCGCTTGAGCCACATCCCCAGCCCCAATACCTGTGTTTTAAATGAGTGTCTCCAATGAATTTTTTTTCTTTTTGTGGTACTAGGGGTAGAACTCAGGAGTGATTCACCACTGAGCTACATCCCCAGATTTTTTCTATTTTGAGACAGGGTCTCACTAAATTGATGAGGGCCTTGCTAAGTTGCCAAGTCTGTCTTAAATTTACAATCCTCCAGCTTCAGCCTCCTGAGTCACCGGGATTATAGGGGTGCATCAGTGTGCCTGGCATGTAGAGCACTTGCTTAGCATGTGAGTCCTTGGTTCAATGTCCAGCACCACAAAAATATATTAAAAAAAGAAATAATTGAATAGTGATGGCTTTTCACATATTGACTATTCTTGCTTGACATAAGTGACTTCATAATGAGCCCACATATGAAACAGGGTATATTCTAACACCCAGGTGCTCTATAGAACAAGAGCCAGTGCCAATCAGTCACAGGTTAGATTCTCCCATTAGATTCTACATTAGTCACACTTAGGGAGGAATCTAGTCACATTTAGGGAGGAATCTAGACACACAAGTTAGTTCAAAGCCAGACATAGATCTGAACTGATATAGGACCTAGAGACACATGACAGACCTGAATCCATATTCTTGCCCCCAAATTCCAAGTGCTATAGAAACTTCATAGATCAAAGCCGGGAGCTATGGTACATACCTATAATCTCAGCAATTTGGGAGTCTAAGGTAGGAGGATCGCAAGTTCAAGGCCAGCCTCAGCAACTTAGCAAGACCCCGACTCAAAATTTGAAAAAGTACTAGGGACGTTGCTCAGTGTCCCTGGGATCAATTCTCAGTGCCAAGGCCAGAGAGAGTCTGTATATCTGTTAAATCTCTAACATCCTCTGCAGAACTCAGCAAATGCAATACAAAGCAGCAGAGCTAAAGTGCACTCTTGTCAGACACTGGAGCCAGTTAGCAAGTTCAAGTCCAGTCTCAGCAACTTAGCAAGACCCTCTCTCAAAAAATAAGAAGGGGGCTGGAGCTGGAGCTCAGTGGCAG